GGGATATCTGACTGCCAGCTTATGTCCAATCCCCCAGGGAGCGGGCCTAAGCCAGCAGGTGGTCATCCCCAAAGGGGTCCCAGACTGTGACAGGGCACAGGCCAGGTTGAGGGACTCCCCCCCACCGAGTGCACAAATTTTTGTGCACCGGGCCTCTAGTAGTATATAAATAGAATCATACAACGTGTAGGCTGTGAGCCTGGCTTCTGTGACTTAGCATAATGCATCTGATATTCAGCCTGTTGCTATAGGCATCAGTAGATTGTTCCTTTTGGTTGGTGAATAATATTCTGTGGTAAGAAGGTTGCACAGTTTGTTTATCTATTCTCTTGATAAAAGACATTTAGGATGTTTCAAATTTGGTGAAATTATAAATAAAGTCACAATGAACATTCACTTAAATTTTTTGGGTGAACATAGCTTTCATTTCACTTCCTCCAAGTCATCTGAAGATGGTGCAGGAAGGCATGGAAGTCAGATTATAGTTTAAGAAGATGTGCTGTGGCTACTCTGTCATATACAATGTGTGGGGGTTTTTCCAAAATCTTTTTTTTAAAACATATGTGTTTATTGATATTAGAGAGAGCTAGGGAGAGGGAGAGAGAGATAGAAACATCAATGATGACAGAGAATCATTGATTGGCTGCCTCCTGCATACCTCCTACTGGGGATCAAGCTGGCAACCCAGGCACATGCCCTGACCAGGAATTGAACCGAAACCTCCTGGTTCATAGGTCGAGGCTCAGCCACTGAGCCACACCAGCCAGGCTTTTTTCAAAATCTTTAAGCTGAATTTTGTATCCATTGAAATATGCTGATGAGGGAAAATTGGAAATTTTTTTTCAGTTTAAAATTGAGTATTTTCTTCAAAAATGTCATGTGGCAGAGACTGGAGTTTTTGATTTCAAGAAATTTTGACTACTGAACATTATGTTAAATGCCTTTTTCTGTGATTTTGTGTTGCAATAAAAATACCAACAACCAAGAACCAAAACTTCACTAGTGAAATTTACAGGAGAGGTACTTGTCTTTCCTCTTGGCAAAATTTATATCTCGCATTTGTTCAAGATTATTTTATTCTTCATTAGTAACTGATTTCAAAGGAAGAAAACAGGCTTATTCTAATGAGCTCTAAGACAATAGTGTGAATGCACAGGCATCCATACCTACCAGCGCTTACCTTTCATTACCTAGATCTACCTCTGCTCCAGGGAGATCAAGGTTTTTAGTCAATAGGCAGCCGTGGGCAAACTACGGCCCGCGGGCCGGATCCGGCCTGTTTGAAATGAATAAAACTATTGAAAAAAAAGACCGTACCCTTTTATGTAATGATGTTTACTTTGAATTTATATTGGTTCACACAAACACTCCATCCATGCTTTTGTTCCGGCCCTCCGGTCCAATTTAAGAACCCATTGTGGCCCTCGAGTCAAAAAGTTTGCCCACCCCTGCAATAGAGTGAAGTGTGATTTAGTAATGGGGTAACCAAAATAAATCAAAACTCCATGGTCTTAAGTGAAGCTTACTTCCTATAACGGAAGGAGAAATTCCGCCTTCATGTTGCTTTGAAAAATAGCTAACGGTCTGTAATCCAACCCTCAAACCCCCCCTCACCTAATGAAGCAAAAACATCCAGCCCCTGCAAAGCATAATAAAGAAGTTTTACTGTGTGATTTCTCTGCAATCCCTTTGAACATCGTTATTTTCCGTCACAACCACATGCGCGGCTGCTGGAAGCCTTTTCTTCTCCACTGACCCTCTCAGCACGATTCTTTGATCTCGGTTTTGAAGGGGTGGGGGGAGACAGAAGCCTTGAAGAGAGTTTTTATTACCCATCATCTCTATGTGTATTATTAGAAGGAGAGAAAAGGATTTTAATAGCAGCCACTGCAGTGCAGGCCTTGGGAGGCATTAATATTTACTTAGTGCTGAGGGAACAATGGGAGCTTTTATGAAGTGCACACATAGAGCTACGGGGCATCAGGTGTGTGTGTGTGTCTCTCTGTGTGTGCATGCGTGTGTGCGTGTGCGTGTACGCGCGTGCGTGTGTGCGTGTGCATGTGCGCGCGCGTGCGTGTGTGCGTGTACATGTGCGTGCGTGCGTGCGTGTGTGTGTGTGTGTGTGTGTGTGTGTGTGTGTCTGCCTGTCTATAGGCAGAGGGGCATTTTCAACTGCCCAATTCCCCCTTGTAAGGCAAGGTTCAATTCTATCTCAGGCAGCAGCTTTACCCTTGTCCACATGGTGGCGCAGTCACTTTAATAACTGTGTGTTCCCGCTTCCCTCCACATTATTTTCCTTTTCTGAGGATGACATTAGAGAGACTTGTCAACCAAGGCACCAAATGCAATTCTTAGACAAAATGAGATTAAAAGGCAATGGAGTGGGAAAACGTATGCTCTCAAAAAAGTCCTCCACATTTTGATATTTCCCAAAGAGCAATTTCAGTTAACTTTGTCAGTTTCAGTAACTTTGCAAGCCACCACCCCCACCTCCAATTGAAGTGATT